TCTCGGCACATACAGACTATACCCAAACATCGGATTTCATTCGTGCTCTTCGCCCACCACATCTTGTGTTGGTGCATGGGGAAATGAATGAAATGAATCGTTTGAAAGCAGCAATCATAAGGCAGTATGAAGATGAGTCAGATTTTCATATCGAAGTAAACTTCAGTAGTTTTCTGTTTCTTGATATTAAATTTTTAAACAGAAAATTCATACTTTGCGATTGCTAGGGAAGCCATTGATAAGCTTCCCTATAATCATTGTTTACAAAATAATATGAGCGGAGGTAACAAGCACTTTTTTTTTCGATTCTGTCAAATCTTTACTTGAATGAGAATTTAGGGAAATTTTATAAACTTGGAAATTCCAAACCAATGCCTTTGTTATTTTGCAGGTTTATAATCCTAGAAATACTGAATCAGTTGAATTACATTTCAGAGGAGAAAAAACTGCTAAGGTTCATTTTTCTTAAATTTATTTTCCAAAGTTTTTTGCAAATATAGCTAAATGTCATGATCAAGCATTTCATATGCGAAATATGTTTTCAAAACTTTCCGAAAAAACAATCCGTTCCAGTTCAGCTAGAGTTTTTGAGTTATTTGTCGAAGCAAATTTAAATTATATCATATTTCTACAGATCTTTAACATGATGCTGTCATGTTAAAAAAATATTATTTGGTAAATCTGGAATACTTTTCGATTAATTTAAAGGTTGTTGGAAAAATGGCGATGACGCCACCAGGAGATGGACGGGTTTTGAGCGGTGTCTTGATTCGACGAAATTTTAATTATCACCTGATGCATGCTGATGATCTTAGCGGTATGTTTTATACCCTTTCGTTTTCCTCGAAATTTACTCCTGGTAAAGTTTCAAGATTATGTGTAGAAAAAGACGCAAAGTGAGAGTACTGGTAAGTTACAGTATGTTAGATATTCCTGGATGGATTTATTTCCTGATTTCTGTTTGATGTTAACTATATTAGTGCGATGTCCGTGCTGCTGTTATTCGACATTTGCTTCTTCTCAAGCTATTATATAATGGTGATCTAAATTTTCGGGTCATTAATAGTATTACCGCTTTTTAATGATAGATTTTTTTGTACCTGCAGCATATACGGAGTTGTCAAACAGTATCTTGACACAACGAGAGAGTGTCTTCTACAGTGGTACAATTACATTATTGCTTCATAATTTGCAACAAGTGGCTGGTGATGTGAGTTGTGATGAAATTGACTCCAAAGATACTTCTGATCCGACCCATATGATCAAACTATTTGATGTTAGTACATCTTATTATATGATGGGAATTACCTCACCACATTTGCTATAGATTATGTATTGACTTCGAAATACTACAATTCCATTTGTTCATACAAAGGAAGATGATCATTCTCAAGCTTTTATATCTATAATTTTCAGTTATCAAACTAAATTTGTAATGGGAGGGAGGGCCAGAACTTTGCAGCTGCTTCATCATTTACCTAATACAATAATTAGATATTTATATCTGAACAGGAGCGGATCCATGTGTTAGTTTATTACTCGCAACATGTCGCTATTATTGAATGGACATCAAATCCAGTGAGCGATATGTTTGCTGATGCAACTCTGGCTGCAATTTTACATGCACAAACAAATCCGGTGCCTGATAAAAGTGGGTTCATAAATATTTCTTTTTTGATTAAATCAGCTTTACCTATACATGAATGTTTTTACCAAAGCAGATCATTGCTATGTATGATAAAAGAATCAGCTAAAGAAGTCCAGAACAGAAGTCCGGGTGAATTTATGTTTATAAATGTTACCTTTTTAGTTTTTGTACATTTTTTTCTGTGTGATCAAAGTATATTTGATAGTTATCTGGAAGTGGTTCCATAGTTATTTGTCTACTATCCCTATTTATCTACTCTCCCATCTAAGTATTGTTCTTGTCGATCATTGAAAAGAAACTTGAAAACGGAAGTTAAAATCATATTTACTGATTGAGATCTTCTTTACATTTTAGACCTTGCAAAATGGAATGTAAAACCTAATGAGACGGAATGTTTGATGAAAACGTTGGCTGAACTATGTGGTGACCAAGCTGTTATTCGAATGACTACTAATGCAATTGAATTATCTGTAGATGGGAAAGAAGCTAAAATAGATTTGGACACAATGCATATTTCATGTACCGATCAGCTGTTGCATCATTTGATCTCTTCCGTATGTCAGAAAATGATGAATTCCCTATTACCGGTTTGCACCTTAACAGTCGCGAAGTAACGATTTGTTTAGAGAAATTTGTTTCTTTCATGATGAATTGGTGAGAAAAAGTGTGGATAGAAGGAGGAAATGAGTCGTGCTTAATATCCAGACTGTGTCGGAAGGCTGGGAAGTGATATTGTCATTTGATTGTTATGGGTAAATAATCTTTACTGAAACTGTGTTTTGTCATGATTTTAAACAAAATTTGCTCAATTTAGATAAGTAACTAGATCAATGGGATGTTGGGCTAATTGTATTAAAGTCATTTAGGTCATTCGGCAGTTAATTTTATTGATAGAAACTAATAAGATACGAAGTTGGTTTATACTCTTTATCTTGGTCACTTTTTATATTGAATTATATTGACAGAGTTATTTATAATGGCTTGTCGGCTGACGTTTAGGATGTGTTCTGAATACATCCATGTTTCAAAACCACTCAGAAGCAACTCTTCTGCATTTCAAAAGTACTTCCACTATATATTGAATAAAAGTGTGCAAAGCAAATGGTTGAATAATCTCAGAGATAGGATGTGAGGATTATGTCAGCACAAATCTTCTTTGTAATCGTAGACTAATGTTTTCTTAATTTGTTACAACATTCTCATATCATCGTTATCATTCTGGTTCTCCATCGTTTGTGTGATCAATGTCTATCCAAGTAGATCGGAGTCGTTGATTATTGTCAATGTTGTTTCTTTGCAAATGTTCACCTCGAAAGCAACTGTTGCGTTGGATTTTTAAACACACAAGCGATTTAGATATAAGAGGCATGATTACAATGTATGTTCTACAGCTCATATATTACTTCATTGCTTCCTAGTTAAGGAATTAGTTGATTTGATACTTTTATCGTTGTTATTGTCATTATCATTACATGACTGGTCACTGTGATAAGTTGGAGTTGTTGATTATCATCGAAGTTGTTTCTCTTGCAAATGTTCAGTGCGGGAGCAATAATGATTGTAAATAAACCATTATTTTAATTTTGTGCTCTTTGCATTGTTTGCTTATATGAAAAGAGGAAATGTTTTCAATAGGAATTCAATAGTTCTGCAATAGTCCATTTTTTTTTAACTTAACAAAGAGCTCTACAAAAGAATTTCTGAATTGTATAGTTTCATAATTTACATAAAGGAATGGAGAAGTGCAGATGTTGCAGATGTAATTCTAAAAAGCTTTATGATAACAGCAGAATTTCATACTTTACAGTTCAGTGCATATATCTAATACTTGTAAAGTTTAACTTCTATTTCTAAGTGGTATTTCAATCTCTTTGTTGATCTTTGGGGAAACTTAGGCCTTTAAAAAATTCTTATAAAACATTTTTCAGAAAATTCTTTAAAAAGCTAGTGTATACACGAATTATATATAGTTTGGCTTTAGCTAATGTTTTAGCATTGGACTTCTGGATTTTGAGAGGCTTTGAACGGCTGGGTACACATAATTTTGTGTCTTTATCAGCTAGTAGGGAGCAAAGAAATGGATTTGTATTTCAAACAACCATCTGGTGCGATGGAGAATATCTAAAATCGGTTCGTTCTAATACTAATTAGTATGAGTGCGCTTTTCGTTGCTTTGCCTTTGTTAGAGCAATGCGATTTTAAACGTTTTCAATTCGGTATTATATCTTTGAATCAAATATCACACTGATAAATCTTGTATAACTAGCTGCTTCTATTACTGCTTATCACATGTGTGTTGTTGTATAAAATTTAAAAAGTTGAAAGAAAAAAAGGAAATAATTTTGTCCATTCATTCTTTACCTTCATTCATCTATAATATCATAAGTTACAGTTACACAAAATAATCGAACATTCATTGCAATGTTGGTGGTTTCAGCTATAATTTAAATCAATAAATTATCTCCAAACAAAAGCAATCATTACTGAACTATTTGTTTCATAAGATAACACTTAATGGAACTACTTTATTCGAGAGAAGGAATTGTTTATTCATTATTTACAGAGAAGGTTATTATTCATTATTTACAAAAAAAGAAATTATTTCGTCTATACACATTAATAATCACATTTATTATGTAAAATTCATTTCTTTTGTCCTAATATAATGCTCAAAGGAAGCTTTCTTTCTTCATTTTGAAAGTACTGTAACAAAGAGAAGTGTAACATAACATAGCATATATTTATTCTTCTTATTAACAATATTTTCTCATACTTTCCATTCCAATTATAGTGCGAAGAGAATTTTTATGCTGAACACTGTTCGCTGAACTTATTATTATTGAAATTACCCGATGAAATCAGTATTTCAATTTGAAATCTAACGTATCTCATATAACGTTAAATAATGATTCAAATACATTAGTGTAATTTATAACTTTGTAACTTTGAAAATTTCACAAGAAAATTTAGTATAAATGATGGTAATTGATAAGTTACAACGCATAAGTCTTACTACTATAAGTGATCTCCTAAAGAGAAGGAAATATTTACAGTATAAAAGATTTAACGAACCTAATAGGTTGTATTTTGATTATTCTCTAACATAGGAGTGTTCTGTTATTGATTACAGACGTTAAATGATTCAAACACTCTTCCGTCATCAATTATTTGAGCACTGAGCATTGAGCATTGAAACAATGAGGACTGATCTGTGCATGCCTATAGCAAAGATTGTTATGCCAAGCAAGGAAATAGCTAAGTTGACATTGCTACCGAACAGATGGTGACATTCGATGACAATTCTCAGGTATATCACAAAACTATCATCCTATCTTATTATTTCCTCATTACCTTAGCCATCAATAACTGTACAAGTGTGCAGTGACCATTTAGAACGCAAAATTTTCACATAGACGTTGTTAATTTCAGGACTATAAAATTTGTCTTGCCATGTGGATGCAGATTGTGGGATTAGCTTCCACTGGTTAGGGTTAAGTCGTATATTTTTGGCTGGCATTGATGTGGCCAAGTATTTTCTAGGGCATCGATATGTTAGTAGCCCTGTCTTGAGTGCCATAATTTTATGCTGATAATTGAATTTTCGTTAATAGTACTTCCAGCTGTGCGTTAATGTAGTGCATGGTAGATAAATTCTAGCTTTACCTTTGCACAGTTACATTACTGCTAACTTATTGTTGCTTGGAAGCATCTGATATATTAAACTTCTATTTTGCTTTCCTCTTTTATCCGCTTTATCATATTTTCAATAGAAGCATCAGTTACGATTGGTCTTTAATGACTAAGTTTGAGTTCATGTTCTTGGTAGATTTTGAACAGTACGCACTGTTAGTAGTTGAAAAGAACATGCTGGAAATAGAATCATTTCGATTGTAGTTTTTAACTGTAGTCGTTTAAGCTGATAGACGATTTTGTTTTGTTTTATTATCCATTCGCTTTGTCAGTATCTATGTGGTTTAGAATGGATGTAATATGATATGTATGTACAGTGGATGGTTTCAGTTAAACAAGCCCGACAAAAGCATCCAGCTAGCCAAATGGTTGCAATGAACCCATCGGGAAGGAATTAATTTCTTTGCCCAAATTGATTGCATTTTTTGCCGAGAAATCAGTTTGGGTATATTTTTTATTAATAATAGAAATTGCGTTTTTACTAAACTGACACTGACTATACTATCGCATTTTTGTTAAGCCTTTTATCGATTATTTGTTGCATTACAGTAGTTAGTTAGATTAGTGATAGCATACATTAATTACAAATTAGTAGCTTCATTAATCCAGGTATTGCCAAGTGATAAAATCGTTAGGGATTCAACGGACTGCTTTTGAGGTATCATGTGATTGCAGACTTTTCATAATCTTTCCTGGTTTTGTATGCTGTAAAATCCTCCTTTAGATTCCTTTAAGAGTGCTCTGCGTAAGAAAATTTTATCTTAGCTTGCTGCATTTAATAGCTAAATTAGTAACATTAATACATCAAACACTGAGTCCGAAGTTGAAAAATACTCAATTATGAATTGCTATCACTCGTGGTAGTTTCTGTTCTACGACACAGATTACATTCATTTGACTTTAGATATTTTTTTTCAACTTTAGCGACCAAGTGAATGAATTCGAGAGATCGAAAGACAGTAGTGCTTTTCTTCAAAAATATTTACAAATGCCAATTTAAATTAAAACAGTTTGAATATTATCTTAATATTGGATTTGACGCTAAGGACTGTTATGCTGAAAATTGCTTGTTTATAAGTTAGGACAGCATCGCTTGTGCTGCTTTTTTGGATTATGAACTAGTTAGCTGCTATATTATCTTATGTCTAACAGATGTTTTTGCACCAAGCGCATTAAAGGTAACCCACATTTCTATAGGTTGACTAGTAGTGATGGTGAGATGTCGAGCAAAATGGGCATTATCATTGCTTTTGCTTGCTTGGCTTGTAACTGTTGGCTATATCGTTTATCACAGTTATAACAATTCTTTATTGAATTCGTTTGCGTCAATTCCTGCTCCTGGAATTTATACTGATGCTGTTTTGCGAAAGGTAACGCATTTTAATGTAATTGTAATCACCCTTCATTACCAGCTATATTTCAATTGAAAAGGCCAGAGGACTGATTAGATCGATTGGATTTAAAAGGGTGTAGTGGAAATTTGTTATTTTTCATTAGTCTTTTTGAAGAATTCAAATAAGCTTTTATCAATAGTCTCCTGCATCAGACCAAAACTGATGCTGCACCGCGGCTCTAAGGGAAGAGTATTATGATGGAATTCTGAAATAATGAATGTTTTCTTCTATCCCTCCTTCACTAATAAAGGGTTGCATATAATATGAAGTGTTTGTATGTGTGATATGTACTGTTTCTTCCTAAAAGTCAAAGAACGATAATTTCTGGAGTGATGGTTCGCTGAAAAACCATTTCTATCTATCCTGAAGATGTAAAACCTATGGTGGTCATGGAAATTGATTATCTTTTTTTAGAAATTTTGGCAATCTTTTGAAAAAGCTAGTACTAATTTAAAAAGGAATCAACTGAAGAATGCTATTGTTTACTCGAAACCGGAAAAAATTTTAAATTGGAAGGATTTTAACCATGAAGCCTTTTTGAAAAAGGGTAGTTTACAACCAGGTGAAGACAGGTAATTCTTTTTTCTTTTTTGCATTGTCCATTATATAAAATAGTAAGCTGTACGTATTTATGAATTTTATTTGCTAAAATATGGACATAAAGAGATTGTTGTTCATTATAAAATTTTCATTGGACCATTACGCCAGATTATTTTAAGTAACTGTTTGTTTAGACTGTGAAGGATTTGCTGAAGATTTGTTATATAAGAACTTCGTTGTGTAATTAAATAAAATAACAGAAAAGTACATTATTTGCATTATTTCATAGATATTGAATTAAAGGCTTTCCTTTACTCCGTTTGCGATAGTTGCACCATTAATGCAATGAAATAGTCTTTTTTTTTTTCCTTTTTCATCTTTTGGGCTGATAATCACTTGGAGAAAAAAAAGAAATTTCTGCTGACATGAAGCATGTGTCACTGCTTTAATTATTTAACGGGCTTCTTAAGCCATATGATTCCCAATCGAAAAATAGCTACATTGCTAACGGATTGTAATTTTAGATACGCTGCAAATAAGTTTAATCAGGCCGCCAGTGATGCAACAAGGTGGGATCGTGATATTATCGATTCCCGGGAAGCAAGGTAGACTTGGAATTCTTATTCGGTGTTCTTAGTCGAATTCATATGCTTACTATTGTTAATTTTTTAGTAAATTTTAGATTCTATAAAAAGAAACTATGAATTTAGATTCTAAAGTGATATTTTAGCTTTTAGAGTTTCTATTGAATAGCAAATTGAGAGCGAATTAGTTTCTTTTTCTACTCTTCATTTTGGAAATCTGTAAAAGAGACAAAATACCAACGATTCCTAAAATTGCTTCAAAAGCAGCTTCTTATAAGCAGTATGCGAAAAAACTATAACGAGATTCCATATTTCAGTTGTGGAACTCTGATATACAATGTAGAAACTCTACCGTCAACTTCAGTTGTAATAACCTATCATAATGAGGCACGATCGACGCTGCTGCGTACTATCGTCAGTGTATTCCTTCGATCTCCACCACAATTACTTCACGAAATTATTCTTGTTGATGACTTTTCAGATGACAGTAAGTGTGTTAGTTGAAACGAATTTCCTGCAGAGTAAGATATCCTGTATTTTACAACTTTTAAAATATTTTCAAATATGAAAATGCGGATCATGGCATAACTGAATAGGAATGATCATGTTCATTATAAATTGTTGATTGGCATTATGGATTTTCTTCAGGATTGTTTCATTTGCGATATTATAGGAATCTATGAGTTTTGAGCCTCATGTCAATAATAAGTTGTATTCCTATGTTCAGTCTTACATTGAATATCGCATAATTTGTATGAATATTTGAAGAATTGTGTCCAAAATTTTTATAAGCACCTTTTGAAATATACTTTAGCAAACTTATTTTAGTTACAATTGGAACAGATTTGCTGCCAATAGAAAATGTTGTTGTTATAAGAAATACAAAACGTGAAGGTTTGTTCGAAATTTGACGAATTTTAAATTTAGAAGCTAAAGACTTGATTTAGCATTTTAAAAGATGATTTAGCATCTTGCATTTAGCTTGATTTAGCATTTTAAAAGAAAAAAAAACTTGATTTAGCATTTAAAAAAAAAAAAAGAAAGGCATTTTAAAAAAGAATACTGCAGCCACTCAAAAAATTTTTTTTCTTTGTCAACGTTGACTGACAAAGTTTGTCAGAAGGTTGGATTAAAAATAGTGGAAATTTAGAAACCTGGCAACAGTGTTTGAAACTGAGAAGTTTTAAAAGGTATCGTGAAATTTTGACTTTTGAAATTATTTAAACTAAATTCTAAAAACAGATGCAAAGTGTGAATTGTTTTTTGTTATTCATTATTATTTATTATTAACAAATTTGAGGTTTGATAAGATCACGTGTGAAGGGATCAATATTGGCGCGTGCCTCAGTGCTTACTTTCTTGGATAGTCATTGCGAATGCAATGTGAACTGGTTAGAACCACTTCTTGCACGTGTTAAAGAAAATCATCGAGCTGTCGTTGCTCCCGTTATTGATATTATCGACAAAGATACGTTCAAATATGTTGCTGCGAGTGCTGATTTAAGAGGAGGTCTCAGTTCTTTTCGGATAATTAGAAAACGCATCATTGCAACCGAAATATGTAGAAAATGCAAGAAAGAGTATTGCTCACTGTCGTGTAAATCAGACACATCGATATCAAAAAATTCCATAAATGCTTTAAACTGTTTTGTTTTTCATACAATTTGATTCTATTTCTCATCTTACCTAGGATTTGAATGGAATCTCATCTTTAAATGGGAATATTTGTTGGGTAAATTACGAGATGATCGACATGCACAGCCTACGGCACCAATAAGGTAGGCTCCTTAAATTCTTTAATTTTACGGTCGTTTTTCTACACATGAAGTTATTCTTCGCACCACCTAAAGCACCAAGGAAGGAATGTGTTGATGCTTTTTAGCATCACTTTTTCCCAGATCAAGTGTTGTAAACACTTTATTCTTTAAATATGATTCTAGGCTTTGTTAAATAATGTTAGGTAGTTAAGATCTTGATTATGCCATATGTATTTCATTGTTTCATTTATAAAGTGCTTCATGCTGGTTTTAGGACGCCAGTAATAGCTGGTGGTTTGTTTATGATTCAGAAAGACTGGTTTGAAAAACTAGGCACATACGATGAACAAATGGATGTTTGGGGCGGCGAAAATCTTGGTTGGTTTATGAATTTTAATTTCTTATTCAAGTTTTTATAAGGATCCCAAGTTTGTGAAGTCTGAAATAAAAATCCGCCAAAAATGATATAAGATTAAAGCCTTTTCTGAACCTACTCAATAATGAGATTGGTAGCTCATAGGTTGAAATATGCAAAGTAACGTGAAATGCAGTCATTGTGTTCTTATTAGTCTCAGTGAGATTTAGCAATTTTAGCTATCTTATTTGCTAACA